TATTCACAATAAAGAGATAATTAAAGAAAGAAATGCCTTATAACAAAATATCTTTTTAATGATCTACAAAAATGATTGACTCTTAAAACTATTATTTTTCTTTATATAGAATATAGGTTACAACTTATCTTACTCAGTTTTCTAATGCAAAAGAAATTTGGCAACATTTTTAACTTTTCTAAAGAAGAAATTGAAACTATCTTATTCTATAATCTAGTTTCTTTACATTAACTTCTCCTTCAAAATGTTAGTATTGCAATCTTATAAATTATTAATGAAACAAATATCCTTAGAGTATCCTTTTATATTAAAGTCAAGTAGCTCTAACTTAAAGAATGATTATTTAAAAACCTATATTTGTGAAAATGTCTTGAGCGAATAGATAAAGTTAGCAAAATTTGAATCTCTTTACATCACTTTTTGGATAATTATATTCTATTTAAATTGGATAAAAATGAGGAAAGAATTAATTTGTATAATCAAATCAAACAGAAGTTTGGATTCCTCAAAGAACATGAACTCTTTTGTACTTATTTTAAAAGGGATTGTACCTTCATTTATCTTTCATATCTTTAGAAGGATATTCTTTTCTTTAAATTTTACAGATATTTTAATTCACTTTATTAATTTTCTCATAACTTTTTTTTATGATAAGATCTGGATTTCTAGATGTGCTAATTTGAAAAATTAAAAGGTATTTTAACAAGAAGGAAGAAAAAACGTGGTAGATTAAAAAGTACACAGATTTCAAAAATCACTTCTAAGATTTCTAACTCCTGAAAGAAATGGTTCATTTCAGCTTTACAATTTAGTTTCACATAGTTCAATTTTTTAACAAGTACGGTGGTTAGTTGAAGAGAATTCCTGGTGACTAGTCAATCCAAATGGATTGATTTAAAATAGAGCTACAGGAGATAATTGTAGTTTTTATTTTCTGTTTTACTTTTATTTTATTTTATTTTTAATTTATTCTAATTATATATTTCAACTGAAATTTAATAAAATTATAATAGTACTACATCATTAATAAAAATGTAATATAAGTATGTTCACTATGCTTATTAGTATATATACTTATATAAGTGATTTACATAATTTTTTTTATAAAGTGTGGTAGTTTTACTAAATCTTTATTATAAATAAAAGAAAGTTAAAAATAAAAATAAAAACAAATCATAAGAAAGATGATTGTCCTTATACTCCTTCAAAATCAAACCTAACCTAAACTAAGAATATTACTTTAAGAAACAAATAAATAAGATAATCAAATAGAAGTGTGACAAAAATTTGACCAATGGATTCTATTCATACTATAGTACTGATAGAATCTGACTTATTAACATTAGTAATGTAACCAGATTGGATTGACAAACGTGACGCAGTATATTGCAGATCTAAATGTTAAATATATTAGACATATTTGACATATAGGATATATTTGATATATCTGATATAACTGATATATCAGATAAATAGGACATATTAGATATATTTGATATATTAGACATATTTGATTTATTTGTTATATCCTTCTATGTACTAAATTTAATATAAATAAGAGAATGATAAAATCATGTAAACTTCAGTTCGCTTCTAGTCACTTTTAGTTTTCCTTTTCCACCCAACCACTAAAACCAAATGGTTTTTTATTTTGCTAATGAAAGTAAATGAATAAGTTTAACTTATGTTGCAAAATTTCTATTTTTTTCTATTTTGAAATCAAAGAAAAAATCAAACTATATCCTTCTTTCTTATTTTTTTTCTAATTGATTCAATAAATATCATAGTTTGACTTTTAATTTTTGTAAATGGCTAAAAATTCTTGTCAATTATCTGTATTTCTTGAGAATACTAGTTTACTTGTACAAGAACTTTATTATGGGCCATATTCTCGTTTTGGTGAGACTTTTCAGCTGAAAAAAATATTGTAAACTTTTCCATTCATCTTGGTCAACAAGTTAAAATTTTTCTCAATGCAATCATGGGTTGGAATAATGAAACTATTTTAGAAACATTCAAAAAAGATATTGAATTTTTTCCAATAATATGAGTTAGTTGGAAAATATAAAATCTTTTTATATACTATTGGTTGTTCTTCATATGAAAATGGAAATATGCGAGATCAAGCTTTCAAGCTTCTATTATTCATACATTTGAGAGAAAACAAAGAATTTTTGTATCACAAATTGAAAATAAGCACTGTATTGTAGAAATTTATCAAGATTCTTAACTGAAGAAAAAGTTTGTTGGTGTTGACCCAGATGATGTTTAGCAAAAGATAAAGCAAATTCAAAAATATAATGGAATTAAACTTTTGGTTTAAACAATTTAGTAACTCAACAACTTATACAAAAATATTGAGTTTCTACTTGTAAACTTATAAATTGGCAAGACCAATCAATTATGAAACCAATTTTTGATTATCATTTGAAAAGAAGAACATTGGCAAATATAAATTTTTTATTAGTTGAGCTGAATTAGATATTACAATAATTGATTTAAAGTCTAATTTGCAAAAAATATATTCACAAAATTATAATTTTGGTAAATGTGAATTTAGCGATACTACGTGCATCTGGATGCACCAATGTAATTCTGTGATCACTTAATAAATCAAAGGTAAATATTTATTTTGAAGTATTAATAAAATAGTAGATAGGTTACAATAATAATAAATATATATATATATCAGATCGAATTGTGAATCAAGTTACCTAATCCAATTACTGTTAAAAAGACATTAAAAACTTATTTAAAATAGGATTGCTTACCTTTATTCCAATCCATATGCCCAATGCAACGTGTTTTGATCGAGCTCTATCAAATAATAAAAAAAACATATGACGGTAAACGTAGAGTATTATCTATAATTGCTGAGGATTTTACTTATGATGAATTGCAAACAAATTTAGGTGTAAGTACGAATTTCATTATTATACTTCAATATCAATCCAATAAATCTAATATATTTCGTGAATATAGGTTGGAAGACATCTAATTTTAGAATCATGTAAACATGGATGTATCAATGGATATGGAGCTCTAGTATTAGAAAAACCTATTATTTATCGAAAAAAATTTACAGTAGAAATGTTAGACCAATTTGAACAATTTTTAATAATAAAGAAATTGTAAAACCAATTTTATATTTGCAGGATTACAAAAAAGCATTATGGGAATGATTTTCAGAACAGTATTCTAATGGTATACGACAAACTTCATTTATGACAAAATTGAAAGGTGGACGATTTGTATATCAGGATAATCTTAGTGAATTATGTTCAATATGTAATGATTTTGGTTATATAGTATTTGGTGATATTAATGTACTAATTGTAGCACATATAACTAATGAATTGATATAGGTATGTAAAATAAATATAATATCATAAATTGATTATTTTTAAATTTCTAATAATCAATTACTATTACAGAAGTAATTGTTAGAAAATTCACAACAGTTATGATGTAATATTTGACGATAATATTGCAAATCACTTACTATTACAGCAGATGGTATAGCTTTACATGATAGATGCATTAGTCATTGTATTCGATATGCATTTGGAGATTATGATCTTAGCCATTCTGATACCTGTAATAATAGTGAAAATCTGTTTAGTTTTTTTGATCAGTTAAAAGAACAATTGGAATCTAAATTCAATAATACACTTGATGAATATCAAACAAAACTCATTGCATGGATGGTACACCATGCACGCAAAACCTATCTTAATATTCATGTAAAAACCAATCTTGAAGAACTTGATGCTGAAGGTGCGGTAATAATAGTAAATTATAAAATGAAAATTTTACCAATAAGTATATAAGAAACAAAGAAAGTTTTTTTTGGAAAACGTGGCTGGGGCTTACATTCAGTTTTAGTTTATACCAAAAATATAGAAAAAATCATCTAAATGTTCAAGTATTTGATCATTGGTCTGGTGATACGCATCAAAGATGCATGGTTTACTGCTTCCTCTTTGCATATTGTTTTCGAAACTCTTCAACCAAAGCCTAAATGGGTATCAATTTTGTCAGAAAATGGAATGCACTATCATTGTACTAAATTAATGCTTATTATAAGCCATTGAAAAGAATGATACAATATTATCCTATGACAATGGTTATTTTTGAAAGCGGGAGAAGCTAAAATAGCTATAGACTCCCATTATGCTCAGGTAATTAATGCATCATTTAATTTTATAAATTGAAAAGTATTAGTATATCTAAAATAAATATACTTACAATTTAGATAGCACAAGCTATAAAATGATATATAAAATTAGGATTTGAGGTAAAAAGTGGAGATGAGATTAATAACGCTATCAAAGATATTGCCAGTACACATGTAGCTAATTTGAATTCAGATAGAAATATAGGTATTGATTTGCTAAATAATACTAATTAGATATATTAAAATTAGATAAAGAAAAGTTAGGCACAATAACAGGAATTTCAAATTTTCAAGAATGGACTTGGCCTCAAAATGAAGAAAAAATGGTTATATTTATGCTCGTGCATTGCCAGGAATTGGTATTTGAAAAGAATATTCATCAGAAAAAATAGAAAAAATTGCAAAAAAAAGAAAATTTGAAAAACCAAACCCGAAATATACTCAACACACAGAGCCAAATAAGTAATGGACTATGCCAATTGTGTGTAATTCCGGTAAACTTTTTATTATTTATTATTTTTGGTTATATAATACTGAAATCACTAATTTGATTATCAAATAAAAATTTAGTATGTATAAATAAATATGCAATAGTATTACTATTGCTAATTTGATCTAATATCAATAGTATTGTTAGAATCCAATACTAATTGACATAACCAACCAAATGGAAATTAATAATAAACCTATACAAGATAATTCACGAGGGTATAAATATAATTATAAGTTACAATTTGATGATTATAAAAAGGATTTTATGGTTTTTTATATAGTCATAGGTTTTTTTTTCCAATTAGACTCTAAAAGAAAATAAGTAAAAAGAATGACTGCAGAAATCAAGCAATTATTAGAAGTAATGTTTTATACAGGAACAGCAAATCCACGCAACGAGTATAATAGGGTGAATTATGTGAAGAAGATGTGCTTCAGGTACCAACCATTCAAAATTGGATTCTGGGTTTTTCACAAAAATGGAAAGAAGCAATGGCACTTCATTCCATGGATGAGAATGAAGATTTCTAAAAGTTTATATAAACACGAATATAAACATTATTATTTTATTTGAAATTATGAAATTTATATATATTTGAGTATAAAAACAAATAAATATATATATATTTACCAGAAATTAATAAAATGTATATATTCAATTTACTGTAAATCTGTCGCTACTTCAAAGTAAACAAAAGTCAATGTACTTATTTTTTATAAAAAATGGTTTTTTGACATTTTGTGACTTGAGATATATTAATAATGGATTGGCACAATTTTGCCCTAAATTCTTATAGTAATTTAGTGCCAATTTCTCACCAATCACGTCTTAAAAGAATCACCACTTAAACACCCCGTCTAACTGTCGCAATTTAACAGGATTGCAAGTTAACAGTAAGAAAAAATATACCCAGATGACTCAAAATTAGCTTATTTAGATTCTAAGATGATATTGTAGATGTTTGAATTATGCATCAATCTGTTCAGATATTTTGAGTACTTTCAAAAATAGAGTACAGTCAAAGCTGGTTATAACGAACCTAGATTTCTAGAATTATAATGAACTTAATTATAAAAATTTTATATATCGCATCTGAACCCATCCTAACCAGTCATGATATATCAACTGTATATTGGCTATACTGAAATATCATGTGACATAGATCGCTAAACTTTTTGGATATCCTTAACCTATACCGGAGGTGTAGATATTTAATCTGTACTAGAGATGTACAATAAGTTTTAACAATTTTATTAGATGAAAATTGATTTGTGTAATATTATAATTTATACTATCTTTGTAAATAAAATTAATATTGTATTTACGTAATTGCTATAGTGAGAACATAAAATATTTGTGTAAATTTCTTAAATAAACAATTTTTGCAAACTTAAATTTCATATAAAAATTCAAAAATTAGAACTTTTTTTATTATAGTATAAGGCCTGAACAACTTAATTCTATATTTTACATAACATAGGAGATCAAATTCAGGAAGGGAAAGATTAATAAAGTATTTTAAACTAATTTAACTTGTCTTTCTTTACTTAGTACTAATTACTTTAATCCTGAACGAGTATTAAATTCCTTGCCTATATCCTAACACTTTTGACATAATGGGTATATTATCTTATATCTATGTGCGTCACAATAATAGCATATATTGAAATTTTCTGATTTTTGGACAAAATTTCTATCAAATAATGATCATCAGGAAAGAGAGGTGTACCGCAAGAATAATCATATATATCCAAAGCTTGTTAAAATCCCGAATCTCCTTTTAACTTAATGCTTTATCACTATAGATACAGTGCCGTTTTCCACAATCACAACATATAATGTAATTACAAATTTTCCCACTAACTAGTACACTTTTTGGTGCAGATTCGGCATTGGTTTGATTAAGTTGCAGTGATGAATGAAATTCTTCACTAGTTTCTGTTCTATAGACGGTATGAAATGAAGAGTAATGATCTATCTGTATTATCTAATAGATTTTATAAATGAGATACAATATAAAAATTATTAATGTGAAAAAATAATTCTTGTAACGTACCTTTTAAAATTGGATCAGATAAGAAATATAAACTGTTAAAAACAATTTATAAGAGGCGTATTGGTGCATAAATACCAATAATTGATCTTGACACTTTATCTAAAAAAATATCATAAGACAGTATTGAATTTAAATAATCCATATATTTATAAAAAAACATACTTAAAAAGAATAAGCACGTTCTTGATAATGAGTTTTTATGAATTTGATCAATTCTTTATGGCATGTTAATTGAAATTGTGTGGTAGGCTTAATTTCTACATGGCTTTTGACCTGAATATGGTATTGATGCCATGCTACATAGTGCTAAATAGTTTTTAAAATTGGAATCCCTCTTGTTAATCAACAACACCTCAAGATTAATGAATCAAAGATGCCTACCTCATAGCTCTATCATCAAAGCACAGACACAACCTGATAACTTTATTGTATTAAAAACTAATCTGTCGTTTATCATCATTTGGTCTAATCAATATATGATCTATATTATTAGAAAAGTCACTAAAAGACATCAATTCTGCGCTATTTAACTTCTAATAACATACTACTCAATTATTAAGTTTTTCACAAACCAAAAGATGGGTTATGGTGTAGCCTCTCACATCTTTCACCAGTTTCTTCTATTTATATAGATGGTTCTCTCACATCCTTAGGTTCCTCAAACTGCTGGATGGGAATCGCTTGATTACAAATTGATCAGAATTGGCCCTATCTCTCATTTAATACCATACTTGTCCTACATTCCCTTCCTCTACTTTAACAGAAATCGTTGCTATCCTTGCAGCTATTTATACAGCTCCTTCTCACGCCAGATTTGGAAATCTGTACTGCAATTATATCTCTATCACTCAACCCAGCATTCAAATTCCATACTTTCACATTTGGATGATGATGCTAAATCTCATTACTACAAATCATCTATATTAAAAATATACAGCAAGCTTCATAGACTGCTACTCTTTTAATCACATCATAATTAAATACCTATATTACAGTTTGGGGATATATCAAATTAGGAAATTGAGTTCTAGAATAATCCATGAGTAGATTCGTAGATTTGATTGGCTTAGGTACTTTTTTTTTCGTCTATGATATTTTATATATTACATGTATTAATGTATAAAATGTTTAATTTCAATAATCCCAAATAATCCCTCATAGCTAACTGTTTTTGAAAAAATGAGACTTAAAGATTAAGGATTTTCCTTATATGTTGTTAAGTAAGAAGTAATAAAAAGAATGCAATTTTGTTAACTTTAAATTAACCCTTCTGTAGTGTCTTCTTACTAGAAACCAAGAGCGAAAGATCTTTTATGCATTTTGCAGACTTAGTTGAAACATATAATGAAGTCGGGTTAAAGCCTTGTGAATCTAAAGAATCACAAAAATGGTGGCATGCGAAGCAGCTAAGCTTATACTTTATCAAGATTTTTTTCCTGAACTTGCTAATTTTTATCCTTTAGAATCCTATTCAATTTGTGAGAAACATTATAATCAAATCATTTCAACTAATCAGTTTTATCAACATCTAGTAGGTTCTGTTCAAAAATGCAAAAGATCCCAACTTGATGCTAATCAAGATAATGATTATACTAACATAATGGTTGAGCTTGACAGGACTAAAAAGCTTTTAGAATCCATTCAGTTAGAAAATCAGCAGAAAATATAATCAATAATAGAACTCAACAATCAAATTGAACGGATGCATCAGTATTTAAAATATCAAAAAGATGAAGTAAAAGAAAATAAGAAATTGCAAAAAGCCTATGATGATATGAATATGATGCAAAATTTGTATGATAAGCAATGTGAAAGCAATAAAACTCTAGTTGAGCAATGGAATTCACAATTTGATAGCCAAAACAAACATATCAGTGCAATTATAGAAATAACAAAAGCAGAACACAAACTATTATTTGAAGATGTAAGTTTACTGATCTGAAATAGTGATAGGTTTTCTCTGGTAAATCTCATGGTATATAATCCGCATGAATGGCTCGATAGGCTCAGGTTGCTGTTAAATTTATTGAAATTCTAATTCAGAATAATCGAGACTGACGTTTTAAGTCAGAAAAAGCTTTTTAAAACTGCCATCATGATCAATTTGATATATGGGGCACGACATGGAAAATATGTGTCAGAAATTCAACTTGCTGCTTCAGCTATTAAATATTCAATTGCACGATCAAAACTGGTTATTAATATCGATAATCATATTACAAGTTCAGGAAGCTATTATCGATTTCAAAAGTGGCTGGATGAATTATCAAAGCATGAAGAACCATTACCCAAAGGTCTTCTAGTCCTCGCATTTGATAATAAACAAAAAGGACAGAAGAACTATCTCGATCAAGGATCTTGGTTGTATCAGTCTCTTTCTAGGTTACAGTATGAAGAACTCTTTAACATCGGCCCTCAAATGCAAGAAATAATTGACAAGGAACTATATACTTACCCTTCGAAATTCTTAATTTGTTATCTAAAGAAAAATCATCCTCTACTAATATTATCGATTCTCTTGTAATATCTACAACAACCAATATTACTAATATGAAATTTTGTCTCAGCTGCGGTCAACAAAACATTGAGAATCGAAAAAAGATATGTCTAGGATGCAAAATGCCATTACTAATATGAGGTCGAAAATATTACAATTGATCAATTAAACAACTCACATACCCAGGGTTGGGAAATTAGTACAGTTAGTACAGCTTAGTATAGTTTAGTACAGTTAGTACACATATTAATTAATATAAAATTTAGTATAGTACAGTACAAGTACAAGGTCAAATTTGCCTAGTACATACAAATTTCTCAACCCTGCACATACCTTTAAATCTTACAACATTGATGATAAACAAAATGTCATGTGCGTTCCTAGGATCAGTCTTACTCAACAAAAAGTTACTGATCTGAGTTAATATTCCCAAGATTTACGTTCCTGATCCTATTAATGTTAATTCTAACTCAATTATAAATGTTTGAAAAGGTACTTTCACATTTAGAAACAATATCAGGCATTAAGGATGAAACTCGCAAGTGGATCGTTGTCACCTGTGATGGTGTTCTGTACCATCATGCTACCAAGTTGAAAAAGTTTCCCTGGTTAGTTCTTATACCAGGACAATTACATGAAGAAATGAATATACTTCAAGCATATGTTGAGTTGAACTGGTAAGTGATATAGATTTAAAATCTAATATTTCTCACCTTAACATTACTATATATTTTTTTATACATTAGGGAAATCGATTTGAAACGGTTTGCAATATACCAAGGTTATCAAACTGAAAATCAGCTTGCCTATTTCAAAAAATGTATAGATCATCATAAGTCCTGGGATTCAATTTGTGACATATATCGTCAAGCAATAGCTATGGAGCTTTTATGGCCGTATGTAAAAAGCCATTCTGACCCATCTATCGAAGGATATCTTGCATGGGTTAAAGAACAGCAAGATCCGCTTTATCAAAT